GAAAAAAAAAAGAAAAATTTCCGGTACTTTGTTTAGGGCTTATGAAAACTTAAAATTAATCAGTTTATTAAAATCATAAAATATCAATTTAGTCATTTTCAGTACAGATTTGTAATTGACCATTAAATCTCAGGAAACTGGAGAGTTTGACAGTAGTAGAAAAATGTACACAAGAATCTATAACAAATAATAATCATTAATCATAATAAACAATTATAACTTATAACTTGATATGACTGTGTAGCAAATAGAGTGAAGGTGTATCAAATCTCATTAATCATACCCAGATCGCGTGATACTAATGAAGGATTGTTTGAGTTAAACCATTTCTTAATCTGAAATTATGAAAACTGTCCTTTAGTAGTTCAAATGGGCTCCGAATCCATGTTTGAGGTCCAATTTGAAGTTTCCAAAGATAGTGATTATCTAAAGATCCTTGCCATCCATGTTTATCCAGCCGTTTATCCTATTTTAGAGCAATCAATGCTTGGAAGACCACGTTCCACATCTTCTTTCTTCAAGTTGAGTTAACGTGTTTGAAGTCAGCTCTGCCAACAGGCAGCTTTGTTAGCAAGCAGATAACCATTTGATTTACTTTTACGGATCTTATGACGTGAGGGCGCTTGTGTTGTGAACGGATTCTTTATAAATATCCAAAGCTAGATTACGATCCACACAGAGGCTGTTTAAGACTAATATCAACCTCCCAGCATTTCCCCCGTGACATGACACTTCTGGATTAAACAATCCTTGGTTATTTTACATTTATATTTTAATAGTTTGTGAAACTGGGATTATAAAGATGAACAGAAGTGCATACTTGACTTTTATCACTCTTTGTTATATCTATACAGGTACATCTAAATAAAAAATGTCATGATTTCAATATTTATCATAACTCATCCCAGAAAGTGATACCCATAGAGATGATTTACACATAGGATGCAATATTTTAGCCTGTCTATTTTTAATAATGTGCAAATATTAGTATCACACCATATTAAGCTTATTAACAGAAATGAATGTGCAAAGATTTCCTGCACCATCCAGTAGACCGATGACTGGTAA